ATTTACCTTATAAAATATTCATATTATTAATAACTATTAATCATTATTTATTATTTAGTTATTAATTTAACTATAATATAATTATTAAATTAAAACAATTAAATTTATTGACAAAACGCGATCGACAATTGATTAGAATCACATTTATTTTAATGTAGTCACGTGAAAACTGCTGTAACCTTCTTGCTATATTAATTATTTAATATACGCAAAAGTGGCAGAACGACCAGCTACTAATACTAGTACTCTGTACTAATACCAGTTGCTAATACTCTATACTCAATTTTCCAAGTATGGTTTACTAAGTACTAATACAGTTGTTGAATACTCTATACTTAATTCCAAGTAGTTACTAAGTACTAATTACCAGTGCTAATACTCTATACTAATTCCAAGTACGTTACTGAAAAAAAAAAGTACTAATACCAGTGCTAATTACTCTACACTACTTCCAAGTACGTTACTAAGTACTTAATTACAAGTGGCGTGCTAATTACTCTATAACTAATTCCAAGTACGATTACTAAGTACTAATTACCCAGTGCCTTAATACTCATATATACTATTCAAGTACATTACTAATGTACTAATACCTAGTGTTAATACTCTTATACTAATTCCCAAGTAATGTTATAAGTACTAATACCATGCTAATACTTCTATACTATATTCCAAGGTACGGTTACTAAGTATTAATACAGGCAGTGCTAATACGTCTACACTAATTTTCAAGGTACGTTTACTAAGTACTAATACCAGTGCTAATACTCTATACTAATTCCAAGTACGTTACTAAGTACTAATACCAGTGCTAATACTCTATACTAATTCCAAGTACGTTACTAAGTACTAATACCAGTGCTAATACTCTACACTAATTCCAAGTATTGTTAACTAAGTACTTAATACCAGTTGCTAATAACTCTATACCTAATTCCAAGTACGTTACTAAGTACTAAACCAGTGCTAATACTCTATACTAATTCCAAGTACTTACTAAGTACTAATACCAGTGCTAATACTCTACACTAATTTCCAAGTACAGTTTACTAAGTACTACATACAAGTGTCTAATACTTTATTACTGAATTCATAGTACGATTACTAAGTACTTAATTGCCAGTGATATACTTCTATACTAAATTCCAAGTACATACTAAGTACTAATACGTGTTAAATTACTCATACTAATTCCAAGTAGTTACAAGTACTAATACCAGGCTAATACTCTATACTAATTCCAAGTACGTTACTAAGTACTAATACCAGGCAGTGCTAATTACTCTACACTAATTCAAGCTACGCTATACTAAGTACTAATACTCATGTGCTAATGACTCGTATACTAATTTACAAGTACATTGATACAGTACTAATACCCAGTGTAATCATTCCTATACTTAATTTCAAGTACGTTATTAAGCACTAATACCAGTGCGAATACTCGGTAGACGATCCAAGTTCCCAAGAACCCAACATTACCGACACGGTGATACTCATAGTATATCGCTGTCATCTCACTCGCCCCCCCGCATCCCTCTCCCCCGTCTCTCTTCCAGGGCACCGCCGCGAAGGAGCAGAATTCAACCCAGCTGGTGGACTCGTTGAACAAGCGCGCGGCGGAGGACCAGGCGCGGGTCGAGCGGTCGGAGGTGGCCCGCCCCGGCTCGGGACGACGAGGAGGGACCTCGACAGACTCGCCGTGAAGCTGAGAAGCCAGAAGGACGCGCACGCGAGAGAGATGGCGGCGCGCGGCGAGGCGGTTAGTGCAGACACCTCGACATGCGCGGCAGACACAGCGGTTGCATTTATCTTTATAGCAGTATATATATATGTAATATAGTATTTAAATAATATATATAAATAATTATATATTAAATAAATATATTACTATATATATATATATATATAAATATATATATATATTATATGTATATATATATAAATATAGTCTGTAGCATTATAATGTTAGTCATTTTGCACGTGTTGGTTTTTAACATGGGAATATAATCTTAGACATCTTGCATGCATGCGTGTGTAAGAATCAGATGTCGATAATAGATATAAGTCTTAACATCTCCATGCACGCCGTGCTGTACGAGTGAGATGTCGATAAATAAAGCATTATATCTTAAACATCTCAACATGCCAGCGTGTGGTACGATGAAAGATGTCGATAAATTAGCATTTATAATCTTAGACATCTCACATGCACGCGTGTGTACGCATGAGATGTCTATAAAATAGCATTATAATCTTAGACATCTCACATGCACTATTGTGATACGACTTGAGATGTTTGATAAATAGCCATTGTATAATTCTTAGACATTCTCACATGCACTGTGTGTATGATGAGATGTTGATATAGCAATTTAATCTTAGAACATCTCACATGCACGCGTCGTGTACGATTGAGATGTCGATAAATAGCAATTAGTAATCTTAGACCATCTCACATGCACGCGTGTGTACGATGAGATGTCGATAAATAGCCAATTATAATCTTAGACATCTCACATGCACGCGTGTGTATGATGAGTATGTCTATAATAGCATTATATCTTAGACATATCCACATGCACTGCGTCGTGTACGATGATGATCGTCTATTAAATAGCATTTATAATCTTAGCACATCTCACATGCACGCATGTGTACGATGAGGATGTTTCGATAATTAGCATTAATAATCTTAGACATCTCACATGCACGCGTTGTGTACGATTGACGATGTCGATAAATAGCCATTATAATATAGACATCTCCCACATGCCACGTCGTCGACCGATGAGATGTCGGCATAAATAGCATTATAATCTTATGACATTCTCACATGCCAGCGTGTGTATGAGCAGATGTTCGATAAAATAGCATTTATATCTTAGACAATTTATTTTTTATCACATGCCGCGTGTGTACGATGAGATGTCGATAAACTAGCATTATAATCTTAGACATATCTCACATTGCACTGCGTGTGTACGATGAGATGTCTATAAAATAGCATTAAATCTTAGAACATCTCAACATGGCATCGGTCATTTGTGTACGATGAGATTGTTGATAATTAATACATATAAATCTTAGACATCTCACCATGCTACGCCGTCGTGTCGCATGTATGAATTCGTCGAATATAATAGCATTTAATCTATATGACATCTCACATGCACGCGTGTGTACTATGAGTGGCGATAAATAGCGTTAGTAATCTTTAGACATCTCCATTGCACGCGTGTGTCGATGGAATGTCGATGAAATAGCATTATTTAATCTTAGACATCTCACGATGCCACGCTGTCGGCGCTGTGTACTGATCAGATGTCGATAAATTAGCATTATAATCTTAGACATCTCACATGCACGCGTGTGTATCGATGAGATGTCTTATAAACTAGCATTATAATCTATAGACATCTCACATGCACGCGTTGTTATTTATGAGATGCTCTATATAATAGCCATTTTATAATCTTAGAACATCTTCACATGCAGCGTGTGTACGATGAGATGTCGATAAGATCAGCATTTACTAATCTTTAGACATCTCACATGCACGCGTGTGTTATGATGCAGATGTCGATAAATAGCATTGATAATTCTTAGACATCTCACATGCACGCGTGTGTATGTGAGAATGTCGATAAATACGCATTATAATCTTAGCACACTCACATGCACGCGTGTGTTACGATGAGATGTCACTAAATAGCATTTATAATCTTAGACATCTCACAGCAGCTGTGTACCGATGAGATGGTCTATAAATAGGCATTGATAATCTTCGACATCTCACATGCACGCGTGTGTACGATGAGATGTCTATAAATAGCATTATAATTTTAGAGCATCTCACATGCACGCGTGTGATCTGATGGATGTCGATACAATAGCATTATAATCTTAGACATCCTCACATGCACCGCCCGTCGGGACTCTGTGTCGAAGAGACTGTCTGATAGAATCAGCATTTAATCTTAGACATCTCACATGCACGCGTGTGTACGATGAGCATGTCAGATAAATAGCATTATAATCTTAGACATCTCACATGCACGCGTGTGTCTGATGAGATGTCTATAAATAGCATTATAATCTTAGACATCTCACCATGCCACACGTGTGCTTACGATGAGATGTCTATAAATAGCATTTATTATCTTACACATCTCACATGCACGCGTCGTGTACGATGAGATGTCTATAAATAGCATTTATATCTTTTACACATCTCACATGCACGCGTGTGTATTGATGGATGTGTATAAATAGCATTATAATCTTAGACATCTCAATGCACGCTGGTGGTAACGATTGGAGATGTCGATTAAATCAGCATTATAATATCTAGACATCTCACATGCACGACAACAGGAACAGCAATGCACTCACAGAACATGATATCACGTAACGCCCCTGAACCAAATATCATAGCAATAATGCTCACCACCGTTTAATGGAGAAATAACACGAAATTATACTACCAAATAATATCACCCTCCCTATAATAACATAACCTAATGCCTCAAATCTCCTCTGCACAACCCACGGCCGCCTGCCTGAAAAGCGGAAAGCCGACATAATAACTACAAAAAATAATATCGACATCATCTCTAACTCTCCCAAATATATCAATAGACCACTTACTCACGATAGCTGCTGCCAATTAGATTACTGTTCTAATCGCTTTCTACAGATAGCACTCGCGATCACCGTTCCTTGTGTGTCATAACGATGCATGATGTTCGTCTCGATAAATAGCATGGTATAACCTTATATATTGAACATCTCCACATGGCACACGTGTGTACGTCGATGATGATGTCGATAAATTAGCATTGATATCATTTCTTGGACATTCTCTATCCAACTGTACGCGTGGGTGTACGATGAGAGTGTCGTATAAATAGCCTCATATAATCTTAGACATCTCACATGCCCCATGCGTGTGCGTACATTACGAACGGATCTGCAATGAATAGCTGACTATGACGGAACTATGCATCTAGTTATATATGGGCTGTAGCAACAGTAACTGCCTCAATGCACACAACTAGCAAGCTTGTATGTGTAAAGGTACGATTTGAATGTCTATAAATAGCATTATTAATCTTAGACATCTGGACTATGTGCAACCAGATTAGTAGAATATGATATCTAGATGAGATGTCTATAACACATAAGAATTTATGAAATCTTAGCACATCTCCACGGCACACGGCGTGTGTATGATGAGATGATCAGATAATTGCCATTATAATGCTTAGCCACCATGACTTCACCATTGCGCGCTCGTGGCAGGGCCTGCTCAACGACTCTACAACATCGGATAAACGACCAAGGATCTAATGATTGTCGTCAATGCTCATCTTCGTCGCGCACATGACAGGTGATATACTAACGACAGTTAGGCAGCGCATCCTTCGATATGAGTCCGCGGACGCACACGACGGTTGGGAAGCTTGATTGCTCGGTACGTGAGACGTCGTCCGAACTCTACCTGCAGAACGGGAAGCTGGAGGGTGGAGCTCTATATACTGGGATATAGAGACGCAAACAGCTCTCACCATCAACCTAACTTTGACTGATAGAGACTGGCTTATAAGCACGGATCCCGCCATTCGCCGAGCTGGATGAAGTAAGCTAGCCAATTGATTTCAGTACTGGAAGTGTCAACGCGACGCGGAGAACGCCCAGGTAATGGGGGAAGTATAAAACGGTATTGTAAGACAACACTCACTGACATACATACATCAGGTACTGCCGCTTACTACTAGTGTGAGAGGGACGAGAGGCGAAGTGATGCGAGGAAGGTGAGAGGGTAGGGACGGTTGGCGTTGGAGGAGAAGCTACGGCGGCTCGCATTGCCAGAGCTGGAGGCAGAGGTGACGGCGCACAGCATTGCGATTGTATGAATTAACTATCATAGGTTATTATATATAGATCAAATCATATAGCGCCAAATTCACGGGCTACCGCTGATACAAAAAGGTGTCATGGAAGGAAGTACGATAGAGCGCAAATCTTACGGTATACTTCGGGTCAAACCGGGATTTTGGGAGCGATAAGCTGACAGAGCCCGACTCTATTGCAGAGCGGTATCTCTATATTTAGATAAGAGGACATAGATAAGGCTGCGCGCGTGAGACACTCTCAGGTATTGCGCGAGGAGGGAGTATTGGTGTGATGTGTGAGAGTTGTAGCGGACGCAGCGGTGAAGGCATAAAGAGGTGGAGGAAGGGGGCTCAAACGGCCCGCATTTGCTGTAGCCGTAGAGGCAGGCGCAACGCTGATCCCTCACAAAGAACCAGACTAGTTACGAATCAGGCGGTCCGCGGAGGGGGAGAGCGGATTGACCTCTCTACTAATCTGCGCTGGAGCGCATTGCGCAAGAGACGCGCTCAGGCAGACGCACCATCGTTGCTGGAGAACCCAAGAGATCCGACCAGTCACCTCGTCACCACGAACTAATCGAAGGGAGAGTGGGAGATCGCTGGAACCCGGCGGCGCAGACCTGGCACGATGGTAAAGGTATCGCTGCAGACGGAAAGAGTGTCAAGCGGACGGTGGCAACTGCGGGGGAAGATGTGTGCAGGCCCTGAGACCCGACCAGTTCGGGTTCAGACGAATCACCGGGGAGGGCGATAACCCGGTCGTCAATGGCTGAGTTGAAGGCTGCAAGGGGAGGGGGGGAGGGAGTGGCTATTAGAGTCGAGAATTATAGTGCGCCACTCAATAAGGAAGCATATGGATGTCGAAATCATGCAGTGTGAGAGCAGAGGGATCATTGGCTGATCCAAGTAACGTGTCTTCTCCTCGACAGAGTTTTGCACGCCGACGGACGGCGCTGAAACCTGACGGGCGGCGGCGGCGACACGTCGCGGTTCGTTGGCCACGAGTTTGAAAACTTTTTGATCAAATTTATTGATTAGCCCAGGTGCAATACCGTGATTGTTGCCAATTGGGCACTCAATTTAACGATTCCAGAGATGCAGGACTGATCTATTAATGTCATGGCTTTCAGGCAGTACGCTCCACGGAACCAGAGCAAGAGGAGGCCGCGAGACGAGCTAGTCTCGCAACTTGAACAAGTCATCTGGAACGCGAGGTTAAACAGATCGTGGAGCAGTAAGGAATCAAGATAATCTCTCAATGTTGGCGAGATCGACTCCGCTACTAGGTATCTGCTAGGTTCTTACGTCTTCACCCACTGCCCGCGAAAAGACGGCTCACGACAAGCGTTACTATTAACTCAAAACGTCTAGCGGTCCAAGATCCACAGGAACTCCTGTGGGCGTGGACTCCTCTGTGTTCACAGGTCTATCACATCTCTGCCGATTGTGCACGTGTGTGACTTTTTCACACTGAAATTTGTCACACTTGCATCTTATCTCACATTTATCATCACATGTTTACTTCGCTCTATCACCTGTGGAAATGTTATCCTTGTGGTCCGACAGCCGCGGCCGCCCTCTGTGGGGCGAGGCGTTGGAGCGATGCTTCAATGCGCACAATTCATGTCGGTGGCGGAGTCTGGGTATCACTCGGTCCCTTCTCCGCTCGCCGTCTGCCTGGTCAAGACGCGCCGGCGGCCGGCCGACCCTCGCAACCAGGCGCTCCGGGCTCGTTCGACGAGTTCTGGGAGAGAGGTGGCTGCCCCTGTGGGGCGATTGCCACAAGGTCGTCTCCCTTTCCGTGAGATAGCAGCAGGCGGTCCATGAAGCATAGATAGAATTAATAGTCTGAGAATATAGTAGTGCGTCTCATATCCTTCGGAGTTCTCATGTTATACTGCGAGAGATCGGACGCTTTATTGTGTCAATGCTCATACGTTAATCTATCATATGAGTAAGACCTGGTAGCTTTGTCAACTCTAATTGTTAACTAGGCGTACACAAACGGCTTATAGCTAGTGCCGTATAGATAATTTTGAAGATAGAATATGTGCCTCATGATAGGGTTTTAGTCATGCATTCCGATACTGAGCGTGTATTAGTCATGTATTAATCAATGAGTAGTTATGAGCAGTTAGTATCTGCTAAAATAGTGACGGAGTACTTCGTTGCGATTGAAGCTTTATTATAGTGGATGATTCCCAGAATTGACCCGCCGAAAATATCGTATCTATGAACACGATAATATAGATTTTAAGTGAACCTTATGATAGCCATTTAGTATATAAACTGCGCCGATGTGAGCTCATTCGACCTTCTTCTACTCTTAAATGTATATTTTCAAGAAAATCGATTTTCATTTTGTAGATTGTGTACTAAATGACACAGAAGCATCACACGCATCCCTCTGGTCAACTCCATTTAAATCCACAGGTACAAAATATCATCCTACCCGAGTGGTGTAAGGTCGCTAATGTAGCGATAATCAAATTTGGTATATCTCATGCTCAGTATCTTCCAAATAATATTATATATATATATATTATAGTATATATATATATTTATATATATATATATTAATAGACATTCAAATATTTTAACGTAGGTGGAGCATACTCCCGAGTAAGTTTGGCGTTGAAAATTCCAACGCCTCAGAATTAATACGTCAGGTTGTTAACCTTCGGGCACTTTTATCATCTCAAACGAGAACATCGTTAATTTAATAATCCTATTCAAAGCTACTCGGTGTATCTCCTCCTCTAAGTTCATTTCAACAATATTACAATTCCTACGGCGTCCACCCATCTTATAATTAAATTATTTTGTCATTAAATTGTGTTGAACAAAAATTTCTGTAAAGAATGCATGGGGGAGCAGCAGTAACACGTTGATGTATGCATACGTTCTGGTAGTCATTGAAACTATCCTGGATTCTCTCGCTTGCATCTTGCACCTTGATCACGTCTGCTTCTCTCTGCGTGAGAATTGCACCTAGCTGTGAGATCTTTTCTTCCCTCTCGGCGACCTCCTGTCGTAACTGCAGAACATACGTCATCTTCTATACATCAATGCTTATAACCAGGCGCAGTTAATACAGACATCCACTCTGCTTGGTCCATTTACGCCATGTTTTCGGGTTATAATTATAAATATTAATCTATAATATTTACTTCAAACTATTTTTCTGACAGAGTTTCTACGACTTACTAATGTTCATGATTACACCTTGATATTTTTCCAATTTGATATGTATATTTATGTATGTATATATATATGTATGTAGGATTTTCTGCATCGACGTTCGCCATCTAACGACCGATTATCCCCGCCAGGTGTCACCGCTTTCCTTACCGTCATGTTCAGACCTTGCCACTCCTTCTGTCTCTCCGCGCGTTCGTTTTCAGCGAGCTGCGACCTTGCCTGCATGTCCTTGACCTCCCTCCTCGCCACCTTCAGCTTTTCCGAGGCGACTTCCTGACCCTTGACCTTGAGCGCAACCTCAGTGACGGCCTCCTCGAGTTTGACCTTCAGCGATTGATTCGCCCGTGACCTAACCTGCAGCTGATTGCGTAGTGACTTTTCCGTCGATTCCCGCTGACTGGCCTAGAAACACGACGATGGGAGTTAGAGCTTCCCCCTTTAGGATTTGTATCGTCATCCACATTTGTATATCGATCAATGTAAAGCAGACAATAAATTTGTAAATTTTACAAACCGATCAATGAATCAAAATCAGTTGACCAATCATAACCTCATCAACCGATCGAACGATCAATCCATCCAGCAATCGATCTATCTGTCAACCAATCTACCAACCAATCCATCAATCAATCAAACAATCCATCAATCAATCCAACTAGCAATCAATCAGTCAATCAAGCAATCTATCAATAACACTACACGCAGCCGACAGCGATCAACGACTAATGCCCATCGTCTCCCATCACCTGTTTCTCGGCTTCCCCCAGCTTGGCCTGGCACGCTGCTAGCTCTCGCCTTGCCGCCGCCGCCTGCTCCGTCAGCAGCTCCACCTTCCCCGCCGCCGCCCTCGCCAGCGCCCTCACCTGGACCAGCTTCCCTTCGAGCGCGCGCGACCTCGCGACCTCACGCTCGCAGTCCGCCCGCGCCGCCGCCGCGCGCTCCCTCTCCCGCCGAAGCTCGCCCGCGATCGCCGGAGGTGGGGTCGCTGCGGCGACGTCGCGGGCGCGCGCCGTCGTTACCGTGGCGACGCGCAGGGCTTCGTTCTCCTCGCGCAGTCGCGCGTTGGCGACCTGCAGCCTCTCGGCGATCTCAAGGCCCGTCTCGAGAATGCGGACGGAGCGGTCGCCCGCGGTGACGCCACTGCCGTGCGACGCGTCGGCGTCCGACCGCTCCCGTGCCTCTGCTTCGGCAATCTGTCGCTCCTGCATCTCGTCGATCTGTCGCTCCTGCGACGAAAGCTGCCGCCGCAGGTCGACGATGACGTCCGCCGCGTCGTCGGCGGCGACGCCGGCCGCGTCGCGCAGCTTCCTGTAACCACGGAGACGGAGGGGTAACGCGGCGTGGGGTTTACGTGCGGCGGCGTGCGTGGCGTGAGACTTGTGTTTGATGTCGGATGTAATTTGAGGTTTGACGTGCTGGCGAGATGTTAATATGTGCGAGTGGCGTGAGATTGAGTTTAACCCTCTCATTTTAACAATTTCATTGCGTAAATATTACATTCGGCAATGAACAAAGAAACAGTGTAGCAACAGTGTGGCGTGAATTACAGGTTATTTGTCTCAATTGCAGGAAATTCGTCTTAATTATAAGTCAGGGATAATTGGACAAGTACTTGGTTTGCTTTCTGGCTAGCTCCACCTCATTGCCTAGTAGTGACACCTGGTGTTGAAGATGGTCCCTTTCGTTGATAATTTCTTTTAATTTGCTGTTAATCCCATCATTCTGCAAGTGTAATTAGTGATCACGTGATTAGCGATTAAGTGGATTAGTGAGGGCAATGAGAAGTTTAGATGAATCGAACACAATAGCATCTGCATGTGTTTAGAGCATAGCAGGTTAGCACGATCATGATTTCCATCATCTTCTACATCATGTTCTACTCATTCTGATTTAATCCTCGACTCCTTTCCAACAAACAAAATTGAAAATTCCTGCAAAATATTGCATTTCTCACTAAAAAAAGCAATCACTGATATGTACAGTATCATTTTTCGTGACTGTAGAACTGTCTGTGTCGGCTGTGATGCCAACACCGTGTTCACGCAATGAAAATTTCACACATGATTTCACACCATCTGCTAGGTTCACTCGGAACTGCCTGGAGGCATGTACGTATGATGGAGATGAACAATACCAGCATGCATAATAGTCTCAATGCAATCGTCGACCATTACACTGACCCTCGAAATTACTTGAAGGATTCTTTTCTGGTCCGCACTGCCTTGTGCTCAAAGAAACACCGAGGATGAGATACATTGATTAACTAAATATTACGTTAGGTTATTACGCAAAAACATCTATGTACAGTTAATTATGAAGTCACTTGCCTCTTCTAGTTGGTGTTTCGTTTTCTCCTTGTACAGTTGAAATGTTTTTGCAAAATCCTCCATGGCATGCACAGCCTCATTCTTTTGCTCGTCTGCCCTGCCAAATACCACACAAAGTTACTTTCCGATTTTTTTCAAAAGTAGACAAATTAAATCCACATTTTTTTACAACAGACACCATCAAAAGGTATGATCAAACTCGCACACATAAAAAAACAAGCACATAAATTTGGATACAAGAATGATCTAGTTTTTAAATCAATTAATGGATTGTTGTACAAAAAGCAGTGTCACACAGTTATTTGTATATACACATAATATATATGCATATTATACATAAAGATAATATGATATATATATATATATATATATATATATATATATACACACATAAATATGATACATAAAGACAGAAAGATAGAAATGTAAATTTAATTGTTCTTACTTGGCTTTTAATATTGAACTCTGATCGAGTTTAGCCACCAGCTGACTGATATTTTCCCTGAGAGAGCTGATTAAATCCTGATCTTGTGCTTGTCTATCCAGCGAATCACACAACTTGCTGTTCAATTCTCTACACAAACAACAAATATTAACACGTTAAATAATATAGACAACTCCCATCGACCGCTGAGCACATTTGAATGTCGCAGAGCATTTTTTACAGAAACGGCCGATCGCACATGAATGCTTACAGTTGAAGCAAACCTTTCTGAAGTAATTGATTGAGGAAAATCGATATCGTAAAAGGTAAATGCCGTCATTAAAAGCGAAAAATAAGTCGTGCACTGAAGTAGCAATAATCACGACTTCTACGAAACATTTTTCGAGTTCAATGTTACTTTGCCGCATAAACCTCACACACTTCACCTGTTAACAGAAGCGTTAGATTTAAATGCTTTTTTTCGCTGCAAATTAGGACCAAGCGATGCAATCGTGCATGCCACAGCAAGTCTACAAAGGGGCAAATAACTGACGTTCGTGAACACAAAACGGCAGTTCATTTGATGAATCCTTATTCCATCTGCTACATTTGGTTCACAACCTATATGCCATGATGATGGCATACTGTATTAACGAGATTGTAATCACTATTTAAAGCGATGACAGTATACTGGTATATACTCACAGCACAGCTTTGCGTGAGGGTGCATCGTGTTTCTCTAGCAACATATGCTCCACCTGCGTATATAACAACAATCACTTCAAATGTTAGAGCACTACTAGCATACATGTATGTAGAATGCAACCCCCCCCCCACAGGTGTGACAATTCACAGTCGTGAAAATCCACACATGTGACACATGCAAGTGTGATAACTGACACAGAGTCACACAGATTGTGATCTTGAGTAACGTTTTGTTTAGTAACCTTTTTTAGTAGCGTCTTTTCGCGCAAAAACGTAAGACCTAGCATACCTAGTAGCGATCGACAATTGAGAGATTTCTTGATTCTTCTGCTCCACGATCTGTTTAATCGCGTTCATTTCTTCGACTAGTCTCTGCGCCTCCTCGTTGCTCTGGTTCCTGGACTTCTGAAGCCTGACATTTAGATCAGTCACCTGGAATCGTAATTATCGATTGCAATCACGTATTATGTATCATAAATTTGTTCAGTTTTCACAAAATTTGAGAGAGACACCGTTTACTTGAATAGCCAATGATCCTCTGCTCTCACTCGTGATTTCATCCATTTTTATTGAGTGCATAATTCTCTCTTAGCTCTGTGTTTCTCCCCTCTCCCCGTGATTCGTTACCTGGTTCTCCACGGCGGCTTGCGCTTCCTCCAGCACCTTCTCCCTCTCCCGTCTCCCTCCCCCTCTCCCGTGATTCGTTACCTGGTTCTCTGCGGAATCTTGCGCTTCCTGCAGCATCTTCTCCCTCTCCCCTCTCCCTGCCCCTCGCCCGTGATTCGTTACCTGGTTCTCCGCGGCGGCTTGCGCTTCCTCCACCACCTCCCTCTCCCCCTCCCCCGTGATTCGTTACCTGGTTCTTTGAGGCAGCTTGCGCCTCCTCTAGCTCAGCAATGCGGGCCGTGCCCTCCTCCACTACCTCCATCTCTCCCTCCTCTCCCTCCACCTCTCCCTCCCCCATACCTGGTTCTCCGCGGCAGCTTACACCTCCTCTAGCTCTGCAATGCGGGCCGTGCTTTCCTCCACCTTCCCCCTCTCCTTCCTCCTCCCCCGTGATTCGTACTTGGTTCTCCGCAATGGCTTGCGCCTCCTCTCCTCCAGCTCTGCAATGCGAGCCGAGCTCTCCTCCACCACCTCCACCCTCTCCCTCCTCCCCCTCCTCCATCACCTCCCCTCTCTCCCTCTCCCGTACCTGGCTCTCCGCGGCAGCTTGCGCCTCCTCCAGCTCGGCGATGCGGGACGTGCTTTCCTCCAGCAAGTGGTGCTGCTGTCCCACCGTCTCCTCCAGCTTCCCGTTCTCGTTCCTCGTCCTCCCGAGCATCGCTTCCACCGCGCCCACCTGCGAAGGATGCGCTTACGTCGTTAGTCACCGTCAGGTGCGCACGAGAGAGAACCCCCCCCCACCCACCACTATGCTCAGCATAATTGAGACGGTCACTAATTAATAAATTTATGTGATATATAATGAGAAGAAAGGAATACGAGTAATCATAATTAAAACACATGCAGAGTGGAGCTAATTGTACAAGCCAAGGTGTGGAATACCGCATTGCCCTGTTACGCAGACAGAAACCTGCATAGCGTGGAGGGAGGCGTACTAAACTAACTGAGTATGTTTACACAGCATAGAGAACGTAACTCACAACATAAAATACGCGTAAAATATCACTTCACATACGTGCAAAATGCCAGAATCGTTTGCTGCAAAAAAATGGCGCGTGAAAAACGGCTGACGTCTTTGCAGGGCCTGACATTAAGGACTACCCGATTGCCCGGGCCAAGTGGAATGAACGTTCACGCAAGTGTAACGTGGGTCTAACTTGTCCGATCGGGCAAGTAAAAAATTATAAATGCATCAACAGTAAAAAGTCCAGTCAGTCTCCTGTGTATGTTATTCTGTTTATTAATTGTGGGTTTGGGTTGTACTAGTTGCAAAAATAAAGTCAAACGGTAGCTTCTGTGTGGGGAATACATATTGGGCTGTAGTACATACGCGAAACAGTGTATTACGGCTAGCACAAATAGTGGAGTGTCTGTCTGTACGAGCGAGGAGGATTGATTGTTTATAGTATGTGAACCACGAGTGCGAAGTGTGAAGTCACTTGCGGCCGGGGTCCAGGGGGGCCCGTCCGAGAGGGGGGGCCGCACGATTGTTTCAGCGTGGTACTAATCACTACTAAAATGTAGGGGGTGGGCATTGCTGGACTATGAAAGAGCGACAGCAAAACTCTTTCCTGGAATTGACGAAAAAGCTACAATCGGGAATGACACACGAGTGTGCCAGCAGGGAAAAATAAACGTGTGAATTTCATTACGATTTTCCATGGATTACAGTTCTATAATCCTACGGGTCGTTGGTCCTACGGGTCTATGTAGGCACACCCGCACACACACAGGCACGCACGCAGGCACGCACGCACACAGGCACGCAGGCACACACGCAAGCACGCCCACAGGCACACCCGCACACACAGGCACGCACGCATGCAGGCACACACGTATATACGTAGGCAACTATGTTTTTTCCCAGTATGGGTAAGCTACACATAATACAATATCGAAGTTCCGGGCATGTGAGATTGACACTCGGGCAAGTGAAAATTCAACCCAACTTGCCCGAATGGGCAAGTCGGTTGAAAAATTAATGTCAGGCCCTGCTTTGTAGACTGTCGCCCGCGATCTCGTCTCCGGCACTCGGCGGTCGTAACAACCTTGCGTCTGACTTCGTGGAGCTCGGACGACCGCCCGTCTAACTGCTGCAGGAGGTTTCGATTCTCGAGCATCAGCTGCCGATTGTCGCGTCGGAGCAGTGCCACCTTGCGATGATGATCCTCGGCGGCGACGCCGTTTCCGTTTCCCCGGAAACCGCGCTCGCTCCTGAGCGACCTTCGCTGCTGCTCCGACGGAGTGAGCGTAGACGACAGCTCACGGTAAATCTCCTCGGCTTGAGCATCGTCGTCGGTCGTGTCGGGGTGAGATATTTCCGTGGAATTCAACCGTTGTTCGTGCTGCAAGCTCCTGTCAGCATTTTATTATTATCATTAAATCTACTGAAGACAGTCTTTTTCACTGAGAAAAAAGCTGATAGATGGCATGTGATAGTTTGGGAGCAGTTAAAATAATAAAATTTCTGATGATACAGTACACAAAACAGCGCTAAACAACATGAAGAAAACGCGTGAAGAAAAGTCGTGAAAATGCGGAGAGAATGCTTTTAAAGTTGCAAAAGTTTGATACATGTATATAATGATGTGCATAATTTTATTAGTGTCATTTGCAATATTTTATAATCTAAATAATGGAGACATAGTCTGAGTGAGCAGCGTAACTTGCCAACTAACTCAAAACGTGCCACCTAATTGCATCACACTTACCCATTCAATTCAATCGAGCTAATACTTTGAAGGCAGTCCTCCGTTTCTGCCAGCTGCTTCCGGAGATAGTTAATGTTTTGTAGCAGGCTCAGATCATCTTCTTTTTCCATTATTATTAACCTATAGCCATCACAGGACAGACGGACTGGTAGTGCAAGTGGTAAGTAGTATAACTTAAGAGCCTGAGTTACTGAGTGAGTGAGTAGCCCTACTGAGTACAGTTCTATTTCTAAGTAGGCTGTTACTTAGCTCTAGTACTATAGCCCGCGTACAGTTGCCACAGGCCTGCGGCAACTGTATGCGGGCTATAGTACTAGAGCTAGCTGTTACTGTACTGTACTGTAGACTACCGGTAGTTAGCTCTAGTACTGCTAAGAGGGTCTATGTCCCCCAGGGTACTGCTGGAACGTACCCTGGGTACGGTCCGGTATAGCAGAACGTACCCTGGTACTAAATACTACTATCTAATATGCCGGACCGTACCTTGCCTACTCCACTAACGAGTCTAGGCAGTCGCCTACGCCTACTCCCTAACTCTAACCCGAACCCTAACCCGAACCCTAACCATATCAGCTAGATAGTTACTAGCTCTAGTAACTATAGCCTGCGTACAGTTGCCGCAACTGCCTGCGGCAACTGTACGCGGGCTATAGTTACTAGAGCTAAATAGTTACCAGGGACAGGGTACGTTCCGGCAGTACCCTGGGGGACATAGAGCCTATGAGCTCTAGTACTATAGCCCGCTTACATTAACTGCCGCTGGTTAGATTAGGCCATGAGAATGAAAAATCCGGTTTACCGTCCAAGGAATTTTAAAAAGTGATGAGGCTTTTTTTCATTATTCATTATTCATTATTTAATTTTTCAGGCTGAAATACAGTGAAATACAGTACAGACAATAAACAATCTAGCCGCCCCTCTTTATTATTCATTATTTTATTTTTCAGGCTGAAAATTTTTTCATTTTTCGCCTAACGGCACTAGCATAGCAGAGCTTTACTCATATTAAATTATAGCTTATAGTAAGAGTGACAAAAGAGCTCCCTATATCTCGGTGTTGGCTTACCAACTTTTATGCCGACAGGTTTTACATCTACATGCAACTGCAAATCAGAACTCACAACAAAAACAATAATATAAACATTACTGTACAAAGCTGTGTCCCTTCCAAACGCGCGGCTCTCGTGCGCGCCACCTTTCGGCCCTTTCTAGTTCTACCTTATTATACACCTACACAACATATGTTGTGTATATCTATGGTTCTACTAAGCACTTTATTCTGCAAATACTAATAATTTTATACTTTTAAAATCTCTATATGGGCAATAGAAAGTTAAATAAAATAATGATTAAAAGCCTAACGGTTTCAAAGATAACGCTAGTAATATTTACGGAAGAAAGTGGTTGATTAATCGGCCAAGAGGTGGCGCGCACGGAAGTCATGTACCGTGTGGGGGAATTGATTACATTACAACTCTAACTTACCTAGTCTTGGAAGCATGGAATGGTCTGTGTATATGATTTAAGGAATAGCAATATTGCGTCGATATGTGCGCTGTTTATAAATGAATTAAAGTCGGCAACATTTCAATCTACTGTACACCGCCACACTCGTATCTAAGAGTAAGAGTTAGACCGGCGGCAGTCGGTGCCAGTCTCTTGGTGACGGGTCAGCTGTAACTTGTAAGGTCACGATCATGATGCAGTTAGTCTCCTTCAATCTTGCCATGTTTACTCCCAATCAGACCGTCTGTCCGCATTTCTAGTCGTTAACCTAGTACGAATTGAAGTGCCATGTGACAACAGCTTGTTAACCTTTCTCTCTGCCGCATCCATTGATCTAGCTCTAGTACTATAGCCCGCTTACATTAACTGCCGCTGGCTGGCGCTGGCCGCTGGCCAGCGGCAGTTAATGTAAGCGGGCTATACTATAGTACTAGAGCTACCATTGATCCAAGTTTTATGCGCAACGGTCTGACTCTGTCTTAGCTAAGGCCGTAAGGGTAAGATATATGTCTATTTCAGTATTTGATCAACGTTGTCTCTATCCCGTATCCGTCTTCGGCCCTTAGTCTAGACAGACTAATATTTACGAGGTTTTTATGAGGTTACGGGACAACTATGGCCAGGTCTACAGTGTAAACTACACGGACCAATCCTACTCCTAGTTTAGCACCTCGGATTAGTCTAGCACATATGCAAAAACACATTTGAGGGTCCTACCTAAACCGGGATATAGTTTGCACAATCCCAGTAGGATTGGGCCGTGTATAGTTTACACTGTAGACCAGAGGCGTGTTCAGGAGAGCGAACGCTCGCGAGCGCTCGCCTTCTGAACGACACTGCGCGAGCGAGCGCGAGCAAGCTCCAGAGGCTGTTCGCGCAGAGCGCGAGTTTTCAAGATGGCGACGGGCAATCTGGCGAATGCGAATCTAACATTTCTGACTTCAATTTGCAATCTATTTCAACTTCATTTCATTTTTCATTCATTCATTTACTTCTAAATTCAATTCGTATCAATTTCGTCTGCTAATTCGTTTAACAGTATTTGTTCGAAGACATTAAAATCTCGCGATTAAAATCTGCTGAGTAGCCCTTCATGGGGGCCGCCATCTTGGATAAAGCCAGCGCACAGCGAGCGCTCGTGTGTCGTTCAAGAGGCGCTGCGTTCGTGCAGTGAGCGTTCGCATCGAGCGTTTGCTCTGTTGAACACGCCTCTGGCCATAGTTGCCCCGTAACCTCGTAAATATTAGTCTAAGGGATGAAGACGGATAGAGACAATGTTGATCAAATAGACATATCTTAGCTAAGACCGTGAGACTATACACTACACAACAGTGGATCGAAGGACTGTGTAATAGGCTCTACTCTAGGTTACTGCAAGGTCTTTTGCTGTAGTACAGGACTTTATAGTATTCTACAAGGGTAATGGACGTGATCGCAGTTCAAAGGTTCAATCATGTTAACATGGAGAAAGCGCATATCTGTCGTATATTGTCGCATCCTGTAGAAATTATCATCTGAAGATTCTGAAACCTTAAAGTGGTTGTCTGTACATATTATTGTCTACAATGCACAGACAACTATTCTCAAAATATTCTGCCGTCAGCACTGCTTTTGTGTTCTGACATCAACAGTACAGAGATGTAACGGAGGTTGTGGCATGTGAAACTTTTGCAATGTATACTCTTCTAGCTGGCATCTAGAATTGACTTGATGTGAGGAGTGGACTTGACAGATTTCCAGATGAATGGTTGCTACCTGTAAAAACTTTGACTGTGATCTCTTTCTTACTTGATGTAGAAGACCACACACGAACACACGTACGCATACATGCACGCATGCACACACGCATCACACACAGACACACACACACCACATGCACGCACACGCACTACATATGCGCACGCACGCACGTGCACACACACAGACATCTACTAATACATAAAGACACGCATAATTGCACGCACGCGGGCACGAACACACAATAACATGCACACAGGCACAGACACAGTTGCACATATGCACGCACACACACACACACACGGATGCACATGTGACACTAAGGCATATAGTGAACATAAAGCGTTGTGACTTAGAGCTAGGTCATGGTGACAGGTCTGCTACGTGATTAGACGTAGGCTTTGTTTGTACACATCCAAATCTCACAGTTAATTATGGTCAGACAGATTTGACTAAACAATATCAACTTTTTATAATATATCACTGCGTTACATCCAGTTTATTGAAGGTAAAGGACAACCTTCTCAAACAGTTAGTGTTTCACTCTCATACATGTGTATAATGAACCCCAGATTTTGGGATTTATCCTTGAGAAATCCTTGAAAGTGTTGGGCCACATCAAAGTAGCGAAATTCCCTGAGCTGTCAATGCTTGCTAAATTGACGAGTTATACATCTCCCCCATTCACTGCGCTTAAAAAATTAAAAGCATTTTTCATGATGCGAGATGAGTGTAAAGGATATCAATTGCTTACATAAGAGAAATTGGATGGTGGGGGAATTTACTAAGATCTTCTTGGCAGCCATTGACATGAATCAGCGCTGCCATTGCGTGATTGCTCGATGCTCAGAAAATTACAACATCATTTTTCACTGCCCTGGAACGAAATTGCATTTTCCTGAGCCTCTCAACTTTCTCAGACTGATTATCATTTTTCATGTAATTGAGAAACTAATGCAATATATATTGAATAGACTCCAGTTTTCCCATTTAAACTCGAAATTAAAATTACGGATCCTCATTGTATTATTCCCGAAATAAGTTCGCGAAAATGACGAAATGTCGTCATTGCCACGGAGCCTTAGGTACAATCTCCCAGAGAGATTGTATCATGCAACAAATTGTTTTCTAACATGATTATACTGTCAGTGTCATATCAGCAGACTTAATGTAATGAGTTCTCACTGGTTTCATTATTAAGAGAAAGTCATCATGATAATCCCATTGCTCACCGTTTTCTAATACACTTTGTCTCGCTTAGTAATTCGAATAACAGTTGAGCCAAGTTCTGAGATGCATGAGATGTAAAGAAAACCGAAATTACTCGAGCAAACATTATATTTGTCTTCTCGGCTCGCTGAAAAGATGGCTTACGATGACGTCACGATGTTGCAACTGACGTAGACAGGGTGTTCTATCATTTGCATTGGGGAATGTGAGCTTCGCAGTCGAACTGTTTATCCATGATCTACTACTATTTACAAGATGTATGCATGGCTGTGTGATGGTCTTCTAATCTAATGTAATGTAAAAAAAAAACATTCGGTAATTTTCATCCTTGAAATCAGGCCGAATACATGAAGTAACCGTGGAGTAATGAATGCATAGTAACGTGTAATAGTAAACTTTGCATAATGTCAAAAATAGCCCCACAGTGTTTTGCGATTTTTAATAAAGGCAAGCGCAGATTTATTTACTTAACATTTACATTTACTAATAAAATGTGATGTTTTTTACGTATAAATTAATAATGAACAATTGACCTCTCGAGTGTGCAGAAGCAGAGGTTTGACACGTATACCCACAATACCACAGTCGATTCTGAGAGCTGTCCTCTTCTCTCCCTAGGCAATGAATCGGCACTAACGCACGATTAATTTTCGATTAGATGAGTGTGAATTTGCAGCGTGGTAATATTTCAAACGAGTGTCTCTAGCTCTCGCAGGCAGCCTCTTTTGCGCTTTCTTACCACGACTCAGCGCATCTAGATTAATTTCTGCAGAATTCATCAAGCAGACTCTCTTAAATTATGCAGTGAGTCGGCGAATTATTGGCTGGATAATTGGTGTCACCGGCGTGCCGCGGCAACATTCTGCGCGTACCTCGTCTCGCATGCATGCGAAGTGCGAGAGAACGCAAAGTATAATAACGCATACTACGCGAGGCTGTGTGATGACCAGGGTTCTCAAAGCTTTTTCATTATACTTATAGCATGGCGGGGCTGCCTTTACGGTCATAGTTTTAGCATTTTGAGCATTTTTTCGCTAATTTTAGCATGGCGGCTATGATATTTAGAGTGGCGGGTGCATTTTAGGATGGCGGGGCTCGACGATAGCCTGGCGGGCCGCCAGCCTATAAGTGCTCTTGGAGAACCCTGATGACATGCGCCACGAGCACAGGCAACGTATTAGCCAGCAAGCCGTGCAGCCGTGATTTGTACGGTCAGTTTTGAAACTGCATGGCCAAAAATGCGTAGCACGGCCTAAAATATGCTTGGCTGAGACACACATACGAAAAAATTGCACTCCCAAATATTTTTTCTGCACTCCCACAATACTCATTCCTGGTTAATACCCTGAGCACGGCACCGTTGTCGGTTTGCCCCTGAGCTTCATCGTCTTCTTCTTCGCATGCGAGAGAAATGCGAGAGAACGGAAAGAAGTCTAAAATCGCGTACTACATACACGAGGCCTTGTAGTCGGTTTGCTACCTGAGCTTCTTCTTCCGCATCTGGAATTTATCAAATTCAGCAGTGCCGGTGTTCCGCGCAGTCGATTGCCGTCTAGCCTCCCTCGCGGAAATCGCCTGGTCTGCACTCTGTGACTGTCCGTAGTGGGCATTCCATTAAATGTGCCGTGAGCATGTACAAAAAGTACATGTCTTCCTGAACTATGTTTGTCTCTTTCTCTTTCATGCTTTCTCTCTCTCTCTCTCTCTCTCGCTTCCATCGTTACCCCTCTCCTCTCTGCTGTCGTCTCTCATCTCTCTCTCTCCTCTCTCTCTCTCTCTCTCTCGTCCTCTTTCTCCTCTCTCTCGTTCTCTCTCTCTCTCTCTGCTCTTCTTTTCTCTCCTCACTTCCCTCTCTTCTTCCCTCTCCCGTCTCACCTCCCTCTCTCTCTGTCTCTCGCGCGTGCAGAAGAGGGGACGGTCTTTCTCTCTCGTACCCGAGACTCTGCTCTCTACGTACGCTTTGCGTACTGACGTGTCATGTGATGGTATAGTTAGCACTGGTGATTCAAGTAAAAACGCGACGCCCATGTTGTCTGTTTAATGCGAGGCCTGATGTCAGATTTCAAGGGGATTCGTGTTGCTGCTGGCGCTGGACGTAGGGAGCAGCAGCAGCAGCGACGAGCAGCAGCAGGTGCAGCAGCACACGCTCTCTGCTTCCCCTCACTGAAAGCCTTGCTAAACGCTGGCTCATCTACAAGTAGAACCCGCTCCCCCTCTCCTGAGGCCTTCCCCTGCTTCCCGAGCCTGTCCCTGCCCCTCGGCACATTCCCTGCGGAGAAAGCTTAGCTGCCTGCCTGGTGTGGAGGTCTGTTTATCGTGGTCCTCTCTCGCTGCGTGCGTGCGGAGGGGGAGGGGGAGGGGGAGGGAAAGTGAAACTGTCCTGAATAGATTCTCCGATGACGGCAGCTGGAAGTCGATGAGCCGAGATTCTCATCTCCCTCTCCCTCTCTCTCTCTCTCCCTCTCTCTCTCTTGTGTGCTCTCTGCTCCTCTCTCTTCCTCGCCTCTCTGCTCTCGTGTCGCTTCTCGGTCTCCCTCTCTCTCTTTCTCGCTCTCTCTCCCCCTATCTGCGCTCCTCGCTCGTCCTCGCTGCTCATTCCCGTAGGGGAGTCTTTCTCTCATCTCTCTCGTCCCTCCACTCGTCCCTGCTTTCCGCTCCCTCTACCCTCTCCCTCGTCCCCTCTCCCTCTCCCGTCCTCCCTCCCTCTCCTCTCTCCCTCTCCCTCTCGCCTGCGCCCTCTCGCCTCGTCACCTCTCGACCTCTCTCTCCTCCCTCTCCCGCCCGCTCCCTCTCCTCTCGCCTCCTCTCTTTCATGTCCCCTCGTCTCTCTCCCTCTCTCTCCATCGTCCTCGGCGTCTTCTCTGCTCCTCGGGTCTTTCTCTCTGCCCCTCTCTCTCCCGCTCTCTGTCGTCACTGTATCTGTGTAACACGGCTTCAAACACGCCGTGCAGAATGCGTGTGGTTGAGCGTAGGTTTCCCCTGCGCGGCGACTACCCTTCACAGCTAATGCTTCGTTATCCTCGCTTATAGAATCTCTCATCGCGCGCCTCGCTGGACTGCTTATGATCGCAGCGCAGCGCGTATGTCATATTACTGCTTTGGAATCCGTTTTGCCGAGAAAGGGAGCCGGTTTTTAGAGTGAATTATTCGTTAGTTTTGTCATGATTGCGAGCGCAGTGTATAGTCTCTCTCGGTAAATGTCGGCGATAGCACTTTCGTTCGAGTGCAAAAATATTTCTCTCGTGTGTCAAATATGTGAGTCGTGTGGTGATTTTGAATTTGTCTGGCTTAATTTGCGTCTTCTAATTTTAAATTTGTGTGTGTGTCCACTTGCGTGTGTTTGATTTTTGCATTCAGATTCTTTAATGGAAAACTTTTGTAGAAATCTTCTGAAATGGGCTGAAACCTTTTGCTAGCAAATGTCAGTGCAACATCAGCAATGTGTGTGTGCGTGTGTGTGCGTGTGTGCGTGCATGCGTGCGTGTGCGCGCGTGTGTGTGTATGTTGCTACGAGTAGAAGCAGAAGTTTTTGAAATAATTATGAAGGCAGGATGAGCAAAAGCGAGCATTTTAACAGTTATACAACAACGAATTGGTGAAAACTACGACGTATTAATTGTAGCTGTTCAACTGTGATGTAACCAGCCTTCTTACGCTGATATCATGACTTTCAGATGCTCAGTTTAGCGTGTCAGGCATCTCTCGCGGGAGGGACCCGGACTGGAGTCTACCGACACGTCTGCCGGAGCGTGCGTCGCCACGCCGCGGCGATGGTTACCGCGGCGACCGCAGCGCATCCCTCCGCAAACTCCGCCGGGTCGCGGGACGTCCTGGACGCGTCGCCGCGGCGACCGGACGCGGAGACGCCGGGGCGGCACCGGCTTCGGCCATGCGGACTACAGATGCTCTCTTGTTTTGCTAGTCACCGTGGTGATCGTTGCACGAACTTCTTCGTCTCGCTCGTCGCCGTGCCGCCTCTGTTGTCGTCGTTGCCCTCGGCGATGGGCGCACGGTGGCTTCACGTGGGCGCGTCGCAACGTGCGGCGGGAGGCGGGTCGCCACGGCGACGCTCGCACTCGTATGAGACTTCGACAACGCTGATGTACGCGTCGGCGCTGCTGGTGCTGGTGGGTGGGATCAGCTACGCCGCCGTGCCCATGTACAGGATGTTCTGTCAGGTATGTATGTCTCTCTCTCTCTCTCTCTTTCTCGCTCCCCCCCTCTCTCTCTCTCTTATTTTATCTCTTCTATCTATCGTCTCTTACCGCGCTGCTGGTGCTGCTGTCAGGTATGCACGTGTGTATTATATATATGTAATATATATACCTTCTCTCTTCTCTCTCTCTCTCCTCTCTCTCTCTCATCTCTTCATCATCTCTCCTCTCTCTCTCCTCTCTCTCTCTCCTCTCTCTCTACCTCTCTCCTCTCTCCTCTCTCTCTCTCATCGCTCTCTCTTCTCGCTCTCTCTCTCTGCTCTTCATCTCTCTGGTCCGCTTCTCTCATATCTTCTCTCATATCTGTGTGTGTGTGTTTGTCGTGTGTGTCTTTCTTTCTTACTCTTACTCCTCTATCTCTGTCTCCCTCTCTCCCCCCGGCACGGCTCATCCCATTAAAAACTCCGCCGTCGAACTCGAGGCGACTTGATTAATTCACGATTGATTGATTAATTGATTGATTAATTAATCGATTGATTACTCTGCACGGCAGGCGACGGGTCTCGGCGGCCAGGCGGGGCTCCTGAAGAGCGCCGCGGACGCCGACAAGGTGGAGACGTTGAAGAAGGTCGCTCGCAGCGTGCTTCGTATAGACGGTGCGAGTTCAACGCGGACAGCGGCCCTCGAGCATGCGCTGGAACTTCAAGTCCGCCAGCAGGCACAGCGTAAGGTGAGGTGTGGGTGGAGCTGGTGAGGGAGCGCTAACGTAGGTGATTGGGTTGTGGTGTAGAACGGCCGCTAGCAATCGCTGCAACTTCAAGCGGCCGCGCAGCGTCAACAGTGAGCGCTGCAACGAACACGCGTGCGGGGAGCTGGGCGAGGGAGCGCTAACGTACGTGATTGGGTTGTGGATGTAGACATGTGCCCGCGAGCATGCGGCGCTGGTACTGTCAAGCTGCAGCAGAGGCGCCAACAGCATGTCAAGGTGAGCCAATGAGTGCGCGTGTGCGGGGGGCTGGGGGAGGGGGCACACTGAGGAGCCACGGTTAATCGTGGGGTGGCGTGATCGTGGTAGGGCATTCACATACACGCCGCGGACTGCACGTTACCGGTTTCCATTCTGCTCGTTTTTGCAGCTCACCTTTGACATCGTCAATGCTCTGAGCTATTGGCCATAGGTCGTCGTCCGTCAACATTTCTGCTACGAGTCAACGATAACTCAGGAACCGTTTGAACGCCACAATGATTCGAACACCTTGGGTATAGTTGTTATGCTACTGCTCCGCATATTAAAACGTCTTATTTGGAGCGCTGCCAGTCGACGTACTTTCGAGCCACGGCAATTTTTGGCCAAAAATGGGACTTGCCTTTACTGAGTCAAGGTTTAACGGCATTTTGCTCATTTTTGCGTATGTGAATGAATAAGGGCTAAGGGTTTGATATTTTAAAAAAATTTATGCAAATTAGGTGGGTTTGGCAATTAATAGCATATTAATATAGACACCGCAGATACTACAAACAGTCTGTGGTGTCACACTTGTCTTAGTGTGTTTTAAAAGATTTCATTGACACGATATCTTTAATGGCAAAACTTCCCTGGCTTAGAACATCATGATATTATATCTTATTATTATTTATATTATTCATTATTATGATATAATGATTTATGCTAAGAAACACAAAGCGGGTATAGCGCTCATTCTACCGACACAAATTTGTCGATTCATCTGTTGGTATGTATAATTAAATTTATTCTATAATTTATATATAATTTATTTATCTATTTCTCACTAAAAAATTACACCACTATAATTATCAAGAGTATATAATGGGAGTTCTCCCATATATATACTCTTCGTTTCTATAATGTACGTCGATGGTTGCTCAATTAAAACTGACTTCTTCTCACTTTTTTGTGGTGAGCTACAGTGTCATTGACATTTTCATGTTATATAAAATCGTGGTGCGTGCGTTTCGGCGTCCGTGACACGTGCCGACGGGCAGTGGTTCCGTCGTTTCGTTGTTCCGTGGTTCCGCTCTACGTTAATCTTCGTTCGTGCGTCCTTGACAGTTGCACCCGGGAGAGACGGCTCTGGCGTTCTACACGGCTACGAATCCGACAGACGACCCCGTGACGGGCATCTCCACCTACAACGTCGTGCCGTTCGAGGCCGGACTGTACTTCAACAAGATCCAGGTGCGTGTGCATGTGCGTGTGCGTGCATGCGTGTGGGTGTGTGTGTGTGCTGTGCATGTGCATGTGCGTGCATGCATGTGTGCGTGCGTGCATGCATGTGTGCGTGCGTGCATGCGTGCATGCGAGTAGGTTAGGGTTAGGGGTGAGGTTGGGCTTAGAGGTAGGGTTGGGGTAAAGTGAGGGTTAGAGGTAGGGTTGGGGTAAAGTGAAGGTTAGAGGTAGGGTTAGGGTAAATGTTAGAGTTAGAGTTAGGGTTTGGGTAAATGTTAGGGTTAGAGGTAGGGTTAGAATTAGGGAAAATGTTAAGGTTAGGGTTATCGTAAGGGTCAGGATTAAGATTAGGGTTAAGATTAGGGTTAGGAATACGGCTGCTAATTAATCACGAGGCATCGGTAAACCTAACGTCATTTTGCTTTGTTTCAGTGTTTCTGTTTTGAGGAGCAACTTCTGAATCCACACGAACAGGTGAGCGATGTGACTCCGAGATGGAACATTGTATAGAGCGAACAAAACAAGGAAGGGAAATGGTAGACATAGATGGATCGGGAAATGAGAAAAGGAAGGGATGGAATAGGAAGGATTGGAGAGCAAAGGATGGACGGGGGCAGAAATGTATGCATACTTGATACGGAAATGACGAAATACATGGTTAATGGCTGTGATTCGTATCGTTTTAAAATTTCGTCGTTCCGAATGGGTTCCTCTGTTTCATGGTTTTCCCGCAATTTCCCTAATTGAGCGAAGAGGGCGCCATCTCACGAGGACTTGTCTTGCTTCATCTAGTTAAGACGTGATGTATAGTAAACATGGTATATATTTGAGACATAGTGTATGTGAAACTCAGTGTATATGGGATGGAGTATGTCAGTCATGGTGTATTTGAGACATGCTGCGTTAGAGATACGTCATATATGAGACGTGGTGTATTTGAGACATGGTGTATTTGAGATGTGGTGTACTTGAGACATGCTACGTTAGAGATACGTCATATATAACACATGGGTGTGTTTGGCTGTTTGAGACGTGGTATATTTGAGACGTGATGTATTTGAGACGTGATGTATTTGAGACGTGGTGTATTTGAGACGTGATGTATTTGAGACGGATGCGTAATGAACGCTTCTAATGCCATAGTGCCACTCGTCGGAGAAGCAACACTTAATAAAGGAGAGAGAGAGGGGCGGCGTGAGAGAGCAGGCGCAAGAGACGAAGAGCCAGAGAGAGCTAGTATGGGAGCCCGAGAGCCCAGAGAGAGAGTGTAGAGGTGAGATGTGAGAGTGAGAGAGAGAGAGTGAGTGAGAAGAGATTGAGAGAGAGAGATGAGAGAGAGAGAACGAGAGACAGAGAAGAGAGCGAGAGACAGGAGAGGAGAGAGACGAGAGAGAGAGAGGAGAGGAGAGTAGAGAGAGTGAGAGTGGAGTGAGGAGTGAAGAGAGAGAGACAGAGAGAGAAGAGAGAGAGGAGAGATGAGGAGCGAGAGAGGGCGAGAGAGGATGAGAGTAGAGAGAAGAGAGAGGAGAGAGAGACGAGAGAGAGAGGCGAGAGGAGAGCGAGAGAGAGAAGAGAGAGAGAGAGAGAGAGCGAGAAGAAAGGAGAGAGGAGAGAGCGAGCGCGCCGAAAGAGAGAGAGAGGAGAGGAGAGAGAGAGGCGAGAGAGAGATGAGGAGAGAGAAGAGAGAAAGACAGTAGAGAGGGAGAGAAGAAAGAGAGAGAGAGAGAGAGTGAGAGTAGAGTGAGAGAGAGAAAAGAGAGAGAGAGAGAGAGAGATGAGGAGGCGAGAGTGAGAGGAGGAGAGAGAGAGAGATGAGGAGAGAGAGAGAGAGAAAGAAGCGAGAGAGAGGGAGTAGAGAGCGGCGAAAGAGAGAGAGAGAGAGAGAGAGAGAGAGAGAGAGAGAGGAGAGCGAGAGAGAGAGAGAGAGAGAAATGAGAGAGGAGAGAGAGAGAAAGCAGAGAGAGAGAGTGTGTGAGATGGAGAAGGACAGGCGAGAGACGGAGAGTAAGAAGGAGAAGATGAGAGAGAAGAGAGAGACAGAGAGACGCAGAAAGCGAAGAGAGAAGAAGAGAGAGAGAGAGCAGAGAGAGACAGATAGAGAGAGAGAGAGAGAGTAGAGACAGAGAGAGGGAAGAGAGAGAGAGGAGAGAGAGAGAGAGAGTAGAGAGGGCGGAGACAGAGAGACAGAGTGAAGTGAGAAAAAAAGAGAGACAGTAAAATAAACAGACAGAAAGAGAGGCTTCCCTCGACGCAGTGAGGCGTCTATTAAGCATAACGACACGAGTCAACTACAGTAATGACGAATTTGCGTCCCACGCCATGGTGGGATAGTAGGTAGGCGAACGGTGGCGCGGGCAGCGGAATTTGTGGAGCAATGTGGGGAGCGAGAGGAGACAGAGAAAGCGAGAGAGGAGAAAGAAATAGCAGGAGAGAGAGAGATGAAGAGAGAGAGAGAGAGAGAGAGACCGAGAGAGAGAGAGAGGGGGGAGAGAGAGAGAGAGAGACACGACAGACAGACTGACAGACAGACAGACAGACAGAGCAGACAGACAGAAGACAGACAGCCAGACAGACCAGCCAGACAGACAGTCCAGACAGCCAGAACAGCCGAGACAGACAGACAGACAGACAGACAGACAGACAGACAACGAAGCTGTGGGTCGATGGCAGGCGACGAGCGGTGCTAAGCCACAAGAGCACGTGCAATAAGTAATCGAAAATTGCTACGCATGGTGGCGATATATAGCGACAGGTTGGCGCGCAAGGGAATTTCGTGTCCAAGGGCTTATAGCGCGCGCGAAGGTTTCTGCATTTGGATTGGCAAAGACTCAAACGTGGAGAGAGTGATGAGCGCGAGGAGAGAGAACGTAGAGAGAGACTGAGAGAGAGAGTACGAGAGGAGAGAGAGAGAGAGAGAGAGAGTGAGCGAGGTAAGAAAGAGAGAGAGAGAGAGAGAAGAGGAGAGCGAGAGAGAAGAGAGAGAGAGTGTGAGAAGAGAGACAGAGTGAGCGAGCGCAGAGAAGAGGTGAGAGAGGAAGAGAACCGAGGAGGAAGACCCGAGAGAGACTCGAGCGAGAGAGAGAGAAGAGAGAAATGTGACGAGACGGAGAGAGAGAGACGTAGAGAGTAGATTGAGAGAGCAGAGAGAGAGAGAGAGGAGAGAGACGAGAGAGAGAGGAGAGAGAGGAGAGAGAGAGAGAGAGAGAGAGAGAGAGAGACGATAGAGAGAGGGAGAGAGAGAGAGAGAGAGAGAGAGATGAGATACGGAGAGAGAGAGGAGAGAGAGAGAGAGAGAGAGAGCAGATGAAGGAGAGAGAGAGAGATGAGAGAAGGAGAGAGAGAGAGAGAGAAGAGAGAGAGAGAGAGAGAGAGAGAGAAGAGAGAGGAGAGAGAGAGAGACCGAGCAGAGAACGAGAGAAAGAGAGAGAGAGAGAGAGAGAGAGACGAGAGAGAGAGGAGAGAGGAGAGAGGAGCGCGCGAAGAGAGAGAGAGAGAGAGAGAGAGAGAGAGAGTAGAGAGGAGCAGAAGAGAAAGAGAGAGAGACAGTAGAGAGAGAGAGAGAGAGAAAGTGAGTAGAGAAGACGAGAAGAAAGAGGGAGAGAGGTGTGTGTGAGATGGAGAAGGACAGGGCGAGGACGGGGAGTATAGAAGGAGAGATGCGAGAGAGAGAGAGAGAGACAGAGAGACCATGAAAAGCGAGAGACGAGAGAGAGAGAGAGAGAGAGACGAGATAAGAGAGAGAGGAGAGCGAGAACAGAGAGAGAGCGAGAGAGAGTGAGAGAGAGAGAGAGGAGAGAGAGGCCGAGACAGAGAGACAAGGAATGAGAAAAAAGAGAGTGCAGTAAGACAAACCGACAGAAAAGAGAGCTGTCCATCGACGGCAGCGAGCGTTGCTATAAGCATGAACGACACGAGCAATACAGTAATACCGAATTTTTGCTAAGGCCATGGTGGCGATATATAGCGGACGGTGGCGCGCAGGGAATTCGTGAGAATGTGGGAGCGAGAGAAGACACGTGAGAATAAGCGAGAGAGAGAGAAAGAAATAGAGAGAGAGAGAGAGCCAGAGAGAGAGAGAGAGAGAAGGGGGAGAGAGAGAGAGAGAAGAGAGAAGAGCGACAGACTGACAGACAGACGCAGACAGACAGAGCAGACAGACAGCCAGACAACGCCAGACAGCCAGACCCAGAGCAGACAGACAGCCAGACACCCAGACAGACAGAGACAGATCAGACAGACAGATCAGAAAGCTGCGTCGATGGCAGCGCGGAGCGTCTTAAGCGCGGACGGACACGTGCAATGACAGTAATAGAAAATTGCTACCATTGGTGGCGAATAATAGGGCGACGCTGGCGCGCAGGGAATTTGTGTCAGGGTAATGCGCGAAGGTTATGCGATTTGGATTGCAAAAATAACAACGTGCAAGACGAGAGTGAGAGTTGAGAGTGAGCAGAGAAGAGAATCAGAGAGAGACTGAGAGAAGAGTCAGAGAGAGCAGAGAGAGAGAGAGAGAGAGAGCGAGAGAGAGGAGAGAGTGAGGCGAGGGAAAGAGAGAAGAGAGAGACGAGAGCACGAGAGAGAGAGAGAGAGAAGAGAGAGAGAGAGAGACTGAGTGTCTGTGTGTGTGTGGAGAGAGAAACAAGAAAAAAACAGATGAGGTCGCGCGAGAGAAAGAGTGAGAGAGAGAGAGAACGCAGAGAAGACTGAGAGAGAGAGAGGAGAGAGAGAGAGAGAGAGAGAAGAGTGAAGGCGAGAGAAAGAAGAGAGAGAGAGAAGAGAGAGAGGAGAGGAGAGAGAGAGAGAGAGGAGATGAGAGAGAGAAGAGAGTGACGAGAGAAAGAAGAGAGAGGAGAGAGAGAGAGAGAGAGAGAAGAGAAGAGAGAGTGTGTGTGACGAGAGAGACAGATGAGAGGCGAGAGGGAAAGAGTGAGAGAGAGAGAGAGACCAGAGAGAGACTTAGAGCCGAGAGAGGAGAGAGAGAGAGACAGAGTAGAGAGAGATAGACGAGAAGTGAGAGAGAGAGAGAGAGAGAGAGAGAGAGAGAGAGAGAGAGAAGAGAGAGAGCGAGAGATTGAGAGAAGAGGAAGAGAGAGAGGAGAGAGAGAGAGAAAGCTTTTCTTCTCTGACTCGATAAGTTCGGGTGCATTCGATGATAGTTTCCGAATCTGCTTTTGGGCGATTGCGAGGTAAGAGTACAGGAGAGTGAGTCATGCAGACCGAACAGGGTCTGGACAGGGTGCGGTGGGCTGCCCCTCTCTCGGGCCCTCTTCCTCTCTGCCACTTCACCCTCTCCCTCTCTCCTCTCCTCTCACCTCTCTCTCGCCGCTCTGCCCTCTGCTCCGGGGCCCTCTCAGCTCTTACCTCTCTCTGGCCCTCCCTCACCTCTCTCTGCCCTCTCTCCCTCGTGCTCCCTCACCCTCTCTCGATCTCGTCTCGCGCCCGTCTCTCCCGCTCTCTCCTCACTCTTCTCCTCT